CGTATATAGTCCCTGTGATGAGGGCAGTGTATGTTATAAACACCCAGTATCGTCCAGTCGAGCCCTATCTACCTACCATAGTTACCTTGAAACCATCATCCTCACTTTTGTCTTAACTTTGCTGACCATTGTTTTCTTGATCTCAGTGCACTGCCCAGAGTGGAGGTGGTGATGACAAGGACTGCTGGGATAACAACTACGGCGGAACCAGACACATCGTTTGCCCCGGAAAAGCTTGAGCTAGATCTGATATATGCGCTGGGTCAGAGGAACTCCCCATGGTATACTACAGTATCTAGGAGGATGATCTCATGGTGGTATGGGTGGTAATGAATTGGGTCTGGTTGTAATTGAGGGCATGCCCGAGGTTTGACGTCTGTGTTGCCAATGTTTTTCATGAGTTTACGATTTATTAAGAGGCAAGAGGTTAACGGCGCCAGCTTCTTGTCCTATTTGAAACGCTCGTTATGAATTCTATGAGTATGTCTTTATGCCAATCAAGTGCTTGTTTTGAACCCATATATTATGGAACGAGTAGCCGTAACGGCAACAATGTCAGAAGTTCACGATATGGCTCGCTGTTGTTTCCAAAACGTGTGAAGCGTGATATCGTTACTTTTGCCGATTATCCGATTGTAGGCTCTAGATCAGCTACAAGAACCTTGACTAGACGAGTTCCGTATCATATCAATAGCTCACCCTACGTGAGTTTATAAAAAAACACTGGCCGGGTGTCTCCTAGGCAGTGACTCCTATATGATCTCCCTAAACATGACTTGGTTTCAAGGGCTACTACTGATAAGAAGACTGTCCGGGATTTTCATAGCAGCCAGTTTCAGTTACGCAGGCACGAAGGCGGCTCCGATATTCACCGATGTTCAGCAGTACTACTCCATTGGCGCGCGCTATTTGGACTTCATCTATCAAGTATGATTTGACGAAATCTATAAATATTTCAACTGGACTTAGCTCTGCCTACAGCCAAGCCAGGCAATTAAAGTGACTGTCACATAGTTGGTTCACTTGTGGCGCCTAATAATTTAGGAATCTATTATACAAAGGTTACACTTAGTCGGACGGGTCGAGCTTGCCGCATCCCCATCGGCCCCACCGGCTCCGCCGGTTGCATGGGGTATCGCCACCTTGGTTCCTATATTACCGAGAAAATAAGAACATAAGTTTACTACTACGCGATACCTGAACTGGTATATCAGTGACATTAGCATCTACACTTCATATACAGCTTTTTCACATAAATATATTCCCCTGAAAAACGCAATTTATACCCTCTCTTTCAGAATGAGCACCACTAGACCTAAGTATGAGACAATTGAGACCAACGTCGACAACTATACCCGTATAAAAAACATATACATACTCATGCGCGATGGGATTGAGCTTTGCGCCGATGTGTTTCTCCCTTTAACCGCATCGGAAAATGGAGAGAAGGTGCCTGTGATTTGCAGCATGGGTCCTTATGGGAAAGACAACCATGCCTCTACGTTTGGACTCCCTCATTCGCCTATTTATGCAGAAATGTATAAGCACATCAAGCCACTGGGCCCCGATGCTTGCTTTGAATTATGTGATCCATCTATCTGGGTACGATGCAGACCATTACTAGGTTAAACTTTCCTTTGTGCTTATTTCCTACCCTTTAGTGCAAAGAGTACAATTATGCGTTGGTTCGTGTTGACAGCCGTGGCATTGGCGGCAGCCAAGGGAAGCTTGACCCTTTCGGCTTGGGAAGATCAGTGCAGATTCAAGCAGATGCAGAAGGACAAGGTATTGATCACCACTCACTACGTCAGATTCATATGGCTAATTCGAATCCTCATTCTTTTCCAGATCTCTACGATATCGTCGAATGGGCTGCCATTCAACCATGGTCATCTGGCAAGGTGGCATACTCTGGAATCAGTTATTACGGAATGGTTGGATACTGGGCCGCGATGCAGAAGCCACCCCACCTAAGCTGCGTCGTATCATACGAGTCTGCATGCGATATGTACCAAGCGTCAAGACGAGGCGGTATCTACAGTGACAATTTCCAATCTCATTGGTACCGGAATCTAGTCATTCCCTATCAAGGCGGGAAGAAAGAAGGTCGCATAGGAGAAGCAGAGCTTTCAGCCAACAGGGTCGATTTTCCAAAGTTGCTCTCAGAGACTGAGTATCCCACCGACGGTGTCTGGGAAGTTCTGGAAAGAGCTCGCAATATTTCCGATATTGAGGTCCCATTCTATCTTGCTGGAAATTGGACGGATGCTGAGCTCCATTTACCTGGAAACATCCGGGCGTATAACGCCATCTCATCTGAATATAAGTGGCTCGAAATGCATACTGGGAACCATATAAGTGCATTCTATGAGCCAGCGCATCTGGAAATGCAGAGGAAGTTCTTGGATTTCTTCCTCTTCGGCAAGGATAACGGCATGCTTGATGTTCCTCGCATCAGGCTTCTTCAACACCATGGCACAAATACCCTTTATCGTGAGAATGAAACATCCTTTCCTCCAGCCGATGCGGAATATGTGCCCTTTTACTTCACCCCAGAGAAAGTGATCACCCCTAACAAACCAACCGGCCCAAAGACCTCCTTTACATATGAAGGCTACAGCGAGAACCTCCACTTCTCCCTCGAAAGCCCATTCCCCGAGTCCTTCGAGCTACTAGGCTCACCATATCTAGAGCTTGAGGTCAGCACCACAGCCAAAGACATGGACATCTTCATCTATCTACGCGCAATCAATGCAGACGGCGAGAATATTATCTTACACGGCAACCACGGCGAACCGATGGACAATTTTGCAAGAGGTTACTTCCGTCTTTCTCATCGTGATGAAGTCGCCAAAGGTTTCATTGAAGACAAGGTCATTTCACAACCAGCTGTTGCCAAGTCAGAGGTCATTCCGGGCCAGGTTTACTCTGTGCTTATTCCTTTGTACCCTGCTGCATTTCTGTTTGATCAGGGCCAGTCACTCAGCATTGAGATTGGGTCAGTGGATACAGCCGGTACTATTGGTCCTATGCGGCATGAGGGTGGAGATCGAGTGAAGGAGAGATTTTCTGGGGATAATGTCATTATTTCTCATGGAAAGTTGGTGCTTCCTCGGGTGAGGCGGTGATGTGTCTTGAATTGGATTTGTCACTCATTGTCAATGTATAAAAATAGGACTATTATTCATGTAGCTCGAGTCGGCATATGTTGATAAATGGGTAGATGGTACTAGGCTGGTTGTCAATAAGTGGACGGTAGTTTAACCTACTCCAGCCATTTCCGCAGTCCATTTCGATTAGCTATACTTCGATCTCCAAATACCACGTTTGTCAAGAGGCTTGACGCACAATTAGTTCCCGGAAAACACGGTAATCAGCTGCACGAGCAATTCATTCTGCTTTCAAAAAAGATCGCCACTAGAGAAGAAGAAAAAATCGATAGCTAGTATACTGAACACTAAGTAACACTACAGTTCCTCCCAGGCTGCAAGCACAGCTTCATGGCAGTCCAGAGCAGCATACTACACGATACACACCTTACTTATACCGTAGTTCTCATTTCATCTTATACGGCTGTCTTTTCAGATCAAACTGCCAAACGTCAGCCATCTTTATCACAAGAAAGCCCTTACAGCAACGCAACAACTTACCTCAATCCCCTCACTCTGATCCAACACAACAGCACGCTCACCAAACCCAATCCAGGTCGCCGGGAGATCCAACACCCCCGCATACTCATCCTCAAAGATCCCCTGTACCTTCCGCACAGCACTAATCGACTCCTTTCCCCGTAGCACAATCATGAACACATAATAACTGGGAACAGACCGCCCACCCCCAAAGTAAGCACTAAGATCAAAGCCTACCTCAGTAGGAGCATTAACCACCAAATCTAGCACTTCAGTGGAGGCATGTTGCTTGAGAAGAGATGTAAACATATCGATCATCTCTCCATTCTTCTCTCCGGAATGCTGCGCTTCACTTAGCGCGACAAAGTACATGCCGACGAAAGAACGTTCCCGTTTTGAAGTTGCCGACTCATTAGCTGCCAACGGAACCATTTCCTCCCTAACAAACATAGGCATCACAGCACCAAAATCCGAGAAATTCGCCCCATCAGGTCCTACTTTCGTCCTGACCCACTCGGAAGCAAAATTCTGGATCATGTGTTCCTCCGAGGAGAAATAGAGCTCTGTGAGACCGTCATTGAAGGCCCATGCTGGGTGGGCGTTTGGTATCTTCCGAGAAGGGTCGACGTGGTATGCGGTGTCGAGGAAGTGGGTTTGGAAGTATTTCCTGACTTGGATGTAAGTGAGGTGCCATTTGTGTATGTTTGCCTGGATGGGGGGATAGTCACATACAAGGGTGTTTCGGATGGACCAGGGCCTTTACTTAGGGCCCCATGTACTTGGTAGTGGTAGTCGAAGAATTCTTCTCTTGTCAAGCCGGCTTTTCGTCGTAGGGCGATTAATTGTTTGATGATGGGCATCTTGGGTACGTGTGGGTAATGGGAGTGAGAGGCATCTATTTTTTTGGGTTGGACGGTATGATCAGGCGGGTAGTATTTATTCATTACATGCTCTTGAGGCTGTAGATAATGGAGCTACAATGGTGTAGAGGCGAAACGTCCACGGTCTACGAACGTTACTCGTCAAGCGGGCGCTGCCGATGGAGCCGGTGGGGAGAATTCTCGGCTTTGCCGATGGGGTTTGCCGCAACGGGGCCGCCTGTGTACTGGGCCGATGGCGGGGTGCCGGGAAGAAAGTCGTGATCAATTAACTTAACAGTATAGTTCCAAGAATACGCAGAGAGGCTCCAAGTTCTATAGGTTTTTTTTCGGGTGGTGAAGGCGGGATGACGTGGTGACCAGAGGTTTATTCCGACGGGGAAGTTCTGAGGCGCTCAACTGTACAGTATTAACACCCCTGGGAATTTTCATCCGTATTATCTACATCTACCCTTGTCGTTAGTTACTTTGCATTTGACCCTGCTCTCCTCCAATGCCTCCTGAAGACGAGAACACAGCTCTGTACGTGGATGAAGACGTGAATTTCTCGGTCCGTCGCCAACAGGAAATTCCTACTCCAGCTGATGATGAAATTCTTATCGAAACGCAATTTTCTGGAACCAATCCCGCCGATCTCAAACATGCCACGCTCCTAGGCATCTATCCTGCAGTTCTTGGATATGACTTTTGCGGCACAGTTCTCAAGGCCCCTACCAGTTCGACATTCCAACCCGGAGACCTAGTTGCTGGATACACACCCACCGGAATAAACCGACCGCCCAAATACGGTACCCATCAGCGATACTTGGCATGTCCCGAGGATATGGTCTTTCCAGTCCCTGCAGCACTACCACTACACCATGCTGCGAGTTTGACGGTGGTGGCCATGACTGCTGCGGATGCTCTATATAATATCTTCAACCTTCCTCTGCCGCATGAACATGACAACCAAGCGAAATCTACGAAGTCCTTGTTGATTTGGGGCGCCTCATCGAGCGTTGGTCTTTGTGCTCTCCAGCTCGCTCGTGTGAGTGGTGTTCATCCGATTATCGTCACTGCTTCTCCAGAGAGACATTCCCTACTACAAGAGCTTGGGGCCACTCGCTGCTTTGACTACAAGTCTTCCAGTGTTATTTCGGATATTAAAGCGACCGTGAGAGATTCTCAGCAGGGTCCATTGACATGCGGATTCGATGCAGTTGGAAGCCATAAGGGAGGTGTCAGCTCCGCACAGTTAGTTGCTGAGTGCTGTTCGGAAGATGCAACGCTTGTATCTGTTGTTGTTCAGAGTGACCTCAAATTCAAGATGCCTATTGCCACCCCGAACAGGAATGTGGTTATCAAGGTCCAGGATGTGCCATTCCCGATTACGATCCCTGCAAGACCGGCAGATTATCAGCGTGCGTGGCGTGCGCTGACCTGGGCCGTGGAGAATTATGGTATTAAGTTTCGACTGCCTTCTGTCGACGTATTTGAAGGGACGGCAGAAGAGGCGATGGAAGAGTTGAAGGCGATAGCAGATGGAGGAAGGTTTGGGAAGCTGGCGTTGAAGCATCCACTACAGTAGTTGTAATTAGGTATCTGAGATTAAGCAATCGAGCTGTACAACTCCAGCTATTTGAAATAGATTTCAAGCTCAGCAAGATGAATAAGGGGAGTTTCATTAACTAAAGATCAATGTATGATCGAACAAGGCCCTATATTGGTTGTTGCTGTTTACCTCGGTTGAACGCGATGAATAAGAGAATTCCGGATGGCGGGATGTGGGGGCTTGCGTCAGTGAACTCCGACTTGTACGGCTCGTGGTTTCCGTCTGCAACTGGTCCTTCTACTTCACCAACCCAGCAATCTGTACCTGACTATGGAAGCCCCAACAGCAGACGGGCTGGACACGTCGGGAAGATGGACGTGTGAATTCTGCCCAGAGAGTTTTGCCCGAAAAGAGCATCTCCAACGACATGAATTCAGCCATCTCGGATTGAAGCCGTTTCGATGCGATGTGTGTTCTCGCATGTTTTCTAGAAGGTTTGTGTCCTCATCATATAGCTAATCTCACTAGTATATTGTTGAGAATAATAACTGTTACAGGGATACTATGAGGAAACACCAAGCCACTCATTCGAGAGAAAGTGATGGTGAAGAACCACCTTGCACCCGCAATCGTCGGCGGTCCCAGAAAGCGTGCCTAAATTGTGCCAAGGCGAAGCAACGCTGCAATGGAAAGTCGCCATGTCGTCGATGTGTTAAGCGAAACATACAATGTGCATTTCCAAAGCCAACGCCTGCAATGGAGGATCCTCCACTAATACAGACGCCGGAGTTCGTCCATTCTACTCTCTTCTTGAACGGCGATACTACATTCATCTCAAATGGCAGTGGCGATCATGTCACCTTCGACGAACAACATGTACGAGCCGACCACTTTTCATTCGAAGACCTGGCAGCTACTATGAGATCTGACGAACAACATCGAGAAGACTGCAGTATGTACCCTATCCATCACCCCGGTGAAAACGCTATCCATCCACATGTGTTATCACTACCTAGCCAAGGGTTAGGCGATGCCATGGCAGTGGAAATGAGTATGGGTCTACCATCAGGCGGATCAGTCACCTCACTCTCCACCCGGGAAGACAACGATGAGAATCCTTCATCGCAAAGTGATTTCTCCATGCCAGAAGAGTCTCGTGCTCACCGTTACTGCTGCACTCGGTTTCCAGAGACTCAGCCAGATGAAGACGTAATTGCAGCTGAGGATTATGGGCATGTTAGACCCATCCTAGACAAGCAATATCAACAGATCTGTGAATTCTGGAACAGCCAGCAATGTTCCTCGTGTGCATCACCTTTCATCAGCCTTTCCTTCTTGAACACGATTGTCCAGCTCTACTTCGAGCACCATGACCCTTGGATGTCTTTCATTCAGCCGTCATCTTTCGACACAGGAGATGCCTCGTGGGTCCTTATATTAGCGGTGGCATCTGTCGGGTGCCAATACTCTAACGTGGAGCGCTCGGAGCTTTATGTCTCAGGTCTACAGGACCTTCTACAGAAGGCGCTTCCGAAGGATGTAAGTTGCCTTAACTTCACTATCTGCTTCAGGGTAGCTGACTCGCTAGGCCACGGAAACTATTACCCTTGACCAGATGACACTTGCGCAGTGTCTTCTTCTACGCAATACAGCTCTCCTGTTCAGCGGTTACGAAGATGAGATTCTTACGTCTCAGTACCAGAGGAACATGCTCACTTCAATGGCTAAATCAGTTTCTGCCAACGTTGCCGAAAGTATACCTTCTCCTGGTGATTTGGACCCATATGAAAGGTGGCGTCGCTGGGTAAGGTTAGAAACTCAGAGAAGAATTGTCTACTGCATTTACGGTGAGAACACATGATTGATATACCTCGACACACATAACTTATATGAACGATACAGTGATCGAATGCTGCTATTGGATATTCAAAGATGCTCCTTCATCAATGACCCTCGACGATTTCAAGATAGCCCTTCCATGCAACAACATCTTATGGACATCCGACTTTGAAAAATGGCAGGATAATATACCTGCCAATATAGGTAAGGAGCCATCGTATCTTCAATTCTTTGACATCAGATCTAACCTAGCCTAGAAGCAAACGATAGACCAAGTCTAAAAACCGCATTCTCTAACCCAGACTTACTCGATACTCTACTCAACGACAACTCCGACCTCAGCAGCCTAATAATACTTCTAACATTCAACGTCGAAGAAAGGCGCCTCTTACGATCCGCCCAGCCATGGTTCGCAGCCGACATAGCCACAGGCCTCAATGAGCGGAAGCTATATAAATGGCCGGACGAATTAGTATCCTTCCGAGCAGCCCTAGACGATAAGTGCGATCCTACAATCAAACGTTTCTCCATGCTCAACCCCATATCGAACAACGCACCTACATTCCTAAAAGTGATGTTCCACGTCACCAACATACTCCGACGCACGCCACTGCGCTGTTTATACGCCTTGAGCGGATGGCAAGTCACAGTGGACCAGATGACCGCCGCCGCTACATCCCTAACACAGTGGATGCAGCAGAATCCGACACTAGCCCGAGAAACCCTTCTACAAGCAACTACTCTATTTGGAGTTCTCTATGACGAGACCACAGGACCAGGGTGTCACCACTTGGCCTTTCTCACCGCGGGTCTCTATATCTGGGCTTATTGTATCGTGGGTGGAGAAGACGGGACTGCGCGAGCGAACGGGACACGGACAATCAGTCAAAGACCGCTGAGACCTGATAAAGGTGTCCCAGATGATGTGAAGAACTCCTGGATCCGAGGCACCCTAGATGCTCCTATATATGTCAGAGGAGTGGGTACTTTGAACGGCCCGGAGAGTGCGATTCGTGTTCTTAAGGGGTTTAGACTGGCCTTGTCGAACCATAGGTCTTGGCCCTCGCTTCGACATGGTTTGATATACTCTATCTCGGAGGTGATAGATGGTAGATTTGCGTCGCTTAGTCCGGAGTTGAAGTCTAGTGGGTGGAGGAAGAACGTGGATAGAGAAACTCGAGCATAGATACACGCGGAATTATTGCAAAAGATGCGATTTTGTGTAATCTTCATGTGTGGGAGATTAGCAGGGCGCTTTTCGCTCTATGAACGCGTCAGGATAGAACAGCAGCTTGACTCGCGCAGACACCACGATATAATATCTATCCCTTTCGGTATATTCTAGCTATATAAAAAACCTGCATTCTCTTGCGGTGCTTATATAATGGATGGATGTAAGGGGGTAAAATTCTATGCTCCCTGCCGGGTGCAGCGGCCCGATGCACGTCCAGTGCAGGTTGTGTTGATGTAAACCAAAATGGCGCATTGAGATTTTATGGTGCAGACTAATATAATGGCTATATGAAGTTATGAGATTATTTCAGGTTCGATATGTACTTTGCATGACTCATATCTATTGGCCTTGGGGATTTACTAGCACCATGGCTTGAGATGGAGTGCTGTGTGTGCGGTATTAGTTCCGGAGGGAACGGACTGAGATATATATTTACTAGTAGTAATTACTGCAACTATTTACAAACTAGTCATGACACACAGTAACTTATCTGCTCACTAATATTTACTACTTCTCTATCCCGAGGGGTGAAGTTCTACATCGAGAGCATTCTCAAAGCACCCCACATTCCATGATATCGTACTCCGTATGTCTAAAGAGCCTCGAGACAAAGGATATACGCATCCGTGTTCATTTATCACCATAACAAACTGCTAACAGAACATGAAGATGAAATAAAGAATCACAGACAGTAATCCATTTAACCTGAACCACAAGTAAAGATCCATTCATATTGTCCTAAGGATCACTACTCTACTACAAGGAATGGTTAGGGAAGAAAAAGTACATCGCAACTCTCAAGTTCACATTAACTACTAATAATTAAGTGCCCGACCAGTCCATAAACCTAGCCAGTGCTGTAGAACTTTTCGAATCGCTAGGCCGTCCCCACCCCAACCAAAGGCAGGTTGTAAATATATTAAGGTTCAAGTCAATACCCTAGGAATCATACATTCCCCCATGGCTGTAAGCCATCTATCGGTAGCAGCGAGCGCTGAGAGCGGGGTTGTGGTGAGCGTGAACGACATCAGGGATGTCAACGGTGACGGGAAGGTTGTCGCCGCCGCAGTTGTGGTCGCTATTTTTTGTTAGATGTCCATTCTTATCGAATGGGTATCGGCTGGGAAGATGTGGCACTCACAAGTAGATGTGGCAGGTAATGCCAGGAACCTGCTTGACGGAGTGGATCTCGCCGGTGACGCTGTATTCGAGTATTAGAAGTCGGTTCATGAGTTTATGGGGATTTGGGGTAGCTCACGAAGTGAAGCAAGATGCGTCACCGTCGTTGAAGGTGGGAGGACCGTTGAAGTGGGGGAGGGGGAAGACGGAGGCCTATTCTTGTATTAGCATATTTGAATTCGATGTTGAATTGGTCCAGAGGTGATGGATGTTACCTCGATGTTCTCCTGAGCAGCGTTATCCGCAGCCAGAGCGGGAACGACGGCCGCGATGGCCAGAGAAAGGATGGTGGTGAATTGCATTTTGATTGTTTTGGAAGAGATGTGTTGGCTGCTAGACTGCTTTACCGTTGATGCTGCTGATGGATGAAGAGAGATATCGTGGTCATTCAGCTTGATTTTATATTCAATTTTTCAAGGGAGAGAAGGAGGAAATAAGCGAAGGCGTTGGCATCTTCATAACATGCCTGGATGTAGCTGCGTGGGGTGCATGCATGGCTTGATTGGATTGTGCCTGGATACTCCGGGCAAGTAATTTCCGCAGTAAGGTATTGGTGGGGAAGTATTTCTTCAGGGCGGAATGAGGGATGCTACGCCGTGTGGCTGTTTGTTGTTGACGCGCCCTTGATTGAGTTAGCTAGGGGGCGTTCCTTGAACGCGGGGATCATCCGCGTGTCAGGGTTAGTTAGATTTGAGGTGGTATAAGGGATGTGTGGAATGTGGGTTCATTTTCCCGGGGTATTCGGTCCCTTGATCGGGATGGCCGTTGGGTATGCTGTGAAGGA